CCCTTCCTTCCTTCCTTCCTTCCTTCCTTCCTTCCTTCCTTCCTTCCTTCCTTCCTTCCTTCCTTCCTTCCTTCCTTCCTTTTAATATTGCAAACGTGGGCTGCAAAAATCTAGATAAGATCACAACAGAGAGATACAAAGAACGTTAACTCTTTGCAGTTCATCGTCCAAGTTTTAATTAGCAAAACAGAGGGAGGGTGTCGCAGTGACGTGGTGCCTTGGCAGCTTTGCAGCCCCCTTTCCCGATTGTGAACTGTCAGATGTTTCCAGTACCAAGGAAACAAATGACAGGCCGCTTGATTGGATGTAATTTTTTCCACTGTTTTATTGGTCAGTTGGAGAGTACATGGTTACCAAATATTAAGTTAGGTGGTCATTTACTATAGTAGGAATGTGCTGCTTCTTTAGGCTTGAAGGCCACACCAGACTCGGAAACGCTGCTTTGTACTCTCCGGGCTACATTTGCAGTACTTCTGATCTACACTGTTGAAACAACTATCTGGACAAGACATGGATACTACTATTAAATGCTCTTATAAAGCTGAAAAGCAGCTTATGAGGCTCCTATTAAAACACTATCTAGGCCCCGATCAGATTTACACACTAACATCCAAGATAGAAACATCCAGTGCTACAGCATTGTTTAAAGTTATGATCTGATCAGTGGAAGCCCATCTAAGCACGCTAAGCTTCTTTATAATATTAAGCTCCCTCAGCCGAAGAGCTGATTCAAGTTTTGCCTACCTCTCTATAATACAATGTCTCTTTTGATGCTGTTTCCTGTGCTTCTCCTTTGATGCTGAAGTACCAGTGAGGAAACAGGGAAAGCTCTCTTGGCTACATAATGTACGTGCTCAGCTGGAGTATCTCTGTAATAAACAGTGGTTTACATAATAATCAATTAGCCTTACTCTCATGTAGTGCAGTTCTTGACCTCTGTGGCAAAGGTCCAGTTTCATTGTGTTTTCTCTTCTCACTCCCCTGCAGGATCGCATCTATTTACCCATGCTAAGAAAAAAAAGGCTGCATGCACTGAGGCTTACCATGAACTACTTTCGTATAAAACCTCTAAAACTTTCCATCACTCTCTCCCCTTATACAAGCATCAACTCACCACTTTTCCAGAGGTCCCTGCAAGAAGGGAAAGAAGAATTTTGGCTGAGCCGCCATTCTGAATCTAGCGACTACTCGGTACAACTTGCTAATGTTGTCTCTTTTACTTGGCCTGTTGCATTTAGTGGTCATTTAGATCTTAGGATTGTTTGCTGCTTGATCTGTTTTAAAGGACAATGAAGGCCAAAATACATATAAAGGAGAGGTGAGCGATTGGGTCACCTGATATGACTGTTTCCTCCTAAAAATCATACCATGCTCCAGCCGATTTGGATGGACCCTCCCCCTGCCCTGATTTGGGTGGCATGGCAGGAGGGAGGCATTTAACCCTTCCTAGCTGCCCTCCTATATCATGACCCCAATTTTTCCAAAGCTGCTGTTATCTGCCTGCCTAGGCGTAGGCACATTATGGCTTAAGCAGGATAGGGTGATATGCAAGAACTCCAATCCAAGTTGTGGGAACTTCTGAATGCTTTTTTAGAATAAGCAAATTATGTCAGAAGGACAGAATCACACTGTAACCTTTAGTTTAGAATGTGTAGCCAATGGAACAAATCAAGCTATGCTTAAACAATGGCTTGCTTCTCTAATGTTATTAGAGAAAAATATGTTCTATCATTTCTGTCATTAACAGCTACTTGAGAAGTATCAATTATACTGTATTATTAAATAACATAATATAGCAGGCTTTCTTTTAAAATTTAAACATAATGGGGCAAAAACATTATTTAGAGTACTTATGCATTAATACAGAAAAGTACCTCTGTTCTGAAAATATGCACTAGTGAGAAAATGTTGGTGCATAAGTATCATTCATTGAGCGTAACCTTGAAATCAAGCCCTTATAGGGATTGCTGGAAGTGAACAGAATTACAGCAAACCAATTAAGTGGGTTCATTAACTCTGAAGAGCACACCAGCCTGTCTCCATGGGATCAGTAGAAGAAAACTGCTCCAGCCTTCTTCCTTTATGTTTTTGCTGAATCAGTTATGTTCATATACTGACATAATACAGTGATTCAGCCATAGGTTTAATTCATGATTGTCCCAGCCAATGGGAGCACCCCTTGTTATGATTTCACATTTTGCTGATTCCCCCTCCCTCTGCATCCCCATTATCACTTCCCAAACTTTCTAGAGGGTTCATTAAACTTCTGGAGGTCTTCTGATAGCAGAGGGGACTGAAAAAGGATTGCTGAAGACTATTTGCTCCCTGTTCTGCTGGCTGAAACGTTCCTCTACAGTAAAGTCATTCCATGGATGGAAGGGGATGTTCCTTCCCACAGGATGTGGACTCTGAATCTAAACCACAATCTATAATTTGATATTCAGTATTGCATAAGAAATTAGGGATGGACAAAGTTCCTTCCCAAAATGGGTCCCCCCAAATGTGTTGGGTGTTTCAGAAATCCCCATTGCCATTCTGGTTGTGAATTTTGGGCATTGCCCATCAATTTCCTATAGGACAATGAAGTTTATTTGAAATTGGAGCAAAGTTGAATTTCCCTTTGCAGCCACTGGATACAGCTATCGAAAAGGTTTCTGGCTGCAAAATTGTTCATGTGCTATAATGTCACCTTCACAGCTTGTAAGAAGCTTTTAAAAGGAGTGGAGGAAAGGTATCTTCTGCAACCAGGTCATCTCATAATAACCACTTCTTTGTTGCTTTTGCAAAACACCAGTCAACATCAGGGAGAACACTAACCATTTACTGTATTTCCTTCTGGGAGTGATCTTTGTTACTCCAGGATCTGTGGTAGGTCAGGGGGTGGGACATTGACTGGGTGATACTGTCCTCCTGATCAACTGGAAAGTGAGCACTGATTGGATTGTAGTGTCCCCAGCATGTTTTCAGCATTCTGAGGTCACCTGAAATGATAACCATTACAGTTATGCTTTAAAGTGGTTTGTGAGAGATTGAGGAATGGAAACTTTGGTGTGGAAATATTTTATCTTATACATACTGCACATAGATATGCACGTTGTGTGTGTGGCCCAGAGCGTTTTAAATTGGAGCAGTAAAAAATGCTGTTAAATAAGTAAATATCTATCATGGCATTTCCTTTCAGTGTAAGCAACTATATAGTGTGCAGAAAAAGAATAAGAAACAGAAAGCCAAAAAAACTATAGGCTGAGATAAGAAAAAGGAAAGGAAACAAAGCTAAAATTATTTACAGCAACACTATTCACTATACCTCTGCATACTTTTTTGTCTTGGCAAACAAGTCTTCCTTCTACCATCTTCATGTACCTTTCATCTATTGTCTTTTCTTTGTTAAGTTTCTCATCTCCGTTCACCCAGTTGGCCTACCTGCAGATCATACATAAATTCTATAACTCTAATATTATAAAGAAGGCTGGGCTCCTTGTTCATCCAATCTAGCAGATGAATTGAATGCTGTTTGCTAATCTATTTACAGGGATTAGTTTGTGCTTCTGCTGCAGCTTTCTCATGTCCACCTTCCTGTTACAGGTGCCACTCCTCACCAAATGGAAAGGGCAGTTTTCAGCCTGTCTGAATATAACCAGTCAGACTGCAGTGCTCTGGTACTTGAGCCAGGTGAATCTCCTGAAGCAACAACTGGGAGCAAAGTATGTGGTTTTCGAAGGTGGTGAAGGCAACATGTTTATGGAACAAGCCATCCCACCTCCTGTGGATCTCAGAGGGGATAAATACATCCAAATTTTTGCCTTGATGGCAGCAATGCTGGGAAATTCATCAATAATTACTGGTGGTACAAGGTTGGTTTCAGGAAAAATTACCACACTATGCATTGTTCTAAGGCAGGCCTGTCTTCCAATCTTTGCTACTTCCCTGCCTTTGTAAAAGAAACTGAAAGTTCTTGCAGTTGGACAATACTTGTTAATACGTTTTTGGTTATATCTTTGGTTATATCTTCAGAGTGCTCTGCAATCACCCCACCCCCACCCCCAAGCTGGTGCTTTCCAAATATGTTGTCTGTCTCAGAACCATGGGAATTGACCTCTAACACATACAGCACAGAGAGCACTAATTTGGGGAACATGGCTGCCCTCATCGATGGTCACAAAAACTCTTACTCTTCTTCTTCTTCTTCTTCTTCTTCTTCTTCTTCTTCTTCTTCTTCTTCTTCTTCTTCTTCTTCTTCTTCTT